CATATGGAGTGTTAAGGTGGACGAATAGAGCTGATAGCAGATGCACTTCTAGGAATTTTTATCTTTTTGTTGAAAATAACAAAGACTAGCATTTGAATAAGAACTTGGTAACAAATTCACATCCAAAATACCTTATCCCAGTTCTCCTCAATGTCAATTCCTCCACATTCGGAGAAGCTTATGCTGTTTCCAAGTCGGTCTGAGACAATATTAAGGTAAAACTCTTCATTGTGGGGAATGAAGGGTTCGACAATGAATGTGGTTATTGGTCCCTTGCAGCCACCCATCTCGACCTGAAACGCCAAAAGAACGAAACATGTAAGCGAAATTCTCGATTCTTACGAAGATCAAATACAAAACACACATAAAGAACTTATGAATTGACGAAACAATGTGAAGATAAAATACCTCTTTGCCAAGGCGCTCCTTCACAAATTGGACAACTTGAGCAAAATCAAGATTCAAGGCAACCAAACCGCTCTTCCCACGCTTTCCGAACAACATGTCAGGCTTCACAACGAGTTTGGAAGATGAAAGCCACGATTCCTTCTCCAGCAGCTCATTGACATCGGTTGTTTCGGTAATCTGAAAAAAACACAATTTAATTACAATTTCCAACATAATTTGTATTCAGAAACATCATATCACTTCTTAATCGGCATCATACAAACAGATTTGTTAAATCTTAAACAACTCAGTTAAGAAAACCAAAACCCAAATGGGATAAAATTTGATCTAAATCAAAACCCTTTTAATGATTAAGTCTATTAAGCTCGGATTAGATCTATAATAAAAACATGATTATCCATAACTAGCATTTAAACAACAGCTTAACCACATAATTTCATTTGATTTATTTCCTAATATCCCAATGACAACGAATAATCTTTCAAATTTTTCGATATGGAGCGCCAAATTCTGAAACTTGAAGATCTAAAAGCTCAACACAGAGTAAATCCAAATCGAAGAAACAATAAAAATTAAAAACTCACAAAAAATAAAAAAAAAACTCACTTGGGCAGATTTAAGAGGCAAATCGCGGCCGGCGAGCCTCTTGAAGTGCTCCTTCAACAATCTCTTGGAGTCGTACTCTCTGATCTTCTTGCGTGCCATTTCTCAACCTGTATTTTTCCCGCACAGATCAGAATCAATTCAATCAAAGATCTCAACTTTTTTTGAATTTGATCAAATGGGGATTTGGGTTTTCAGAAATGCTGGAGGAAAGAAAAAAAACTTACCGTTGAAAAATGCGTGTTAGTTCCGATGAGAGAGGGGGAGAGGGAGATGGAGTTAGGCAGAGGTAGATGCAGAGCAGACTCACAACTGAAATCCACCAGCCAATGGAGGAGTGTATTTATAGCTTCCCAAAATTATAAACGCAAATCTAATTTTCTGTTAATTTGGGGGTTAATTTTTAATTTGATATTTTTCAAGGGTTGGTTGGTGTGGGATTATATTTAATTTTTAGCGGCAACTTAACAGACACATGCGGGCACCTACCGATTTGGACCGGGGAGTCTTCAAGCACAGCCTGTTTTTGTAATTTTGTACTGGATAATGATCCACTGCTTCGCGGAATACGGTTGGTTTCTGTTTTTGCAGGTGGATCACCGTTGATTGTTTGTAGTTTCCTAACATCAGTGTCAAACGCCCCTAGCTCTAGTCCAAAAATGGGAACTTAAATGTGCAGACTTTTATCGTTTTTCTAATAATGTAGAGGATGATGGTTGAATTTTTTTTTTAATGATTTAAATAAAGAGTACAATCGTCAACCGTCATATTATATGGTTTATAAAAAATAATCTAAAAATTTAGGCTATCTGTACCCTGTATATATGTGTGTGTGTGTTGAAAATTGTGCACAATCAAGCCCTCAAAATTTATCTGAAAACAGGAAAATCTGAAAGGGCTCGTTTACTTTAATATTGATTTAGAGAAACAATATTATCATCAAACGTCACATACTGTAATTTACAAAGTATTTAGAAAATCATGGTACACACAATCGGCCCTCAAAATTTATGTGAAAAATAGGAAAATAGGAAAATCTGAAGGGCGTCTTCAAATTCGGTTCGAAAATTTGGTCTCCATATCATAGTTATTAAAATATCGTATGAAAATTTGTGTTGTATGTATGTATATTGTTTAATTTTTTAATAATTGTTACCAACCCCAATCAAAGCTTTTAGCCTTAGTCAACACTATACAGCAGCTCTCCCTAGTTGACTCAGTAAGTGCCGCTACAAGTTGCTAATTTAATTAGTCACTATTGTGTGTTCTTTCTTCCCATTAGGCATTAGCCACAACAAACAAATATTTCTGTATATTGCGGATTGAGGTTTGGGAGGATAACCGTATTTTAACGTTAATTATTATTATGTTAATACGAATTTGTCTACTCGCACGTTATATTTTCATAGCTCGAGCTGCTCATTGTAGCTCAGACACAAAATTTAAATCGTAAAATTTGCTTCGGAAATGAGTCATGTATCCATGAGTTTTAGTTTATATTCAATAGTGGATCAGATAATAAGAATGGTCAAGTTATTTGATATATATCAAGATTAGTTGTGATATGTTTTGTGTGCAACGTGAGAAGTTTATCATTCATATATATATATATATATATATAACCAATTGCCACGTGTGGCAAGAGGCTAATTTTTATAAAGTCGTTTTCGTGTTGGTGTGCACATTTGAATAATGAATCCCATTATTTTATCATATTCATGGGTGGACAGTGGACGCTGCTGAATAATTGACTTGGTGCGTTCATCTTAATTGTTCTTTAATTTGTCTAAATCAAGCTGCAATTGCATCACATATTTCAGTTTTGGTTTTTCACTCTTCCTTATTATAATGTAGTTAGTTTCAAGGGAAACTTATTAGCAATAAATTTGACGGGTTAGATGAACATCTAGTGCAAAATTTACTTTGGGATTGTTTGACGTTAGATACCTTGCTTTCATTGAATTGAAATCCCCTTCGAATCTCTGTATTCGGAGTCATAGAACGCAGAGATCTAGACCACTCATTTTAAATCTTACAACATCTATTAGCCCATATCATTGACTCACCTCATACAAACTAAAGGTTCATATTTCTCTTTCTCACTTAAACGGTCTGAATCTTTATGTCTACTGGCTTTAGACTTTAAGATCTGAAGAGGATGTCCATTCTCTATCATTTAAGTAAATAGAAAGTCAATCCTATACTCTCTTGACATATCAGATCCTTTTATATTAGATTCTACACATTCCTTCTTTTTTGTTTTCGCGGCCAAATATTTACTTTTCTTATCAAAAAGAAAAGGCACGAGGCGGGAGTCACAATTGGCAGCTGTTATTAAGTGTAAATAAATAGGTATCCTGTTTGATTAATTAACTCGGATGTTGTTAATTAGGACTCCAATATTTGCAGGCTTTTGTTGAAATTCTTGAAAAGAGAAGTTTTCTGCCAACTATTCGGAATTTTAGACTAATTAAAAGTACCCGCCTTTTGCTTTTCGAGCATTTTTCCTTGTATTTGAGATCCTGAGTTCAAAAAAGTATCTGCAGGCTCCGCTTAAGTTCAAATATTCGTTCACCAAGTGAAGTTTGTTCACCCTTGCACTAGTTATTGAGACACTCACCGATTGGATAAACCTACCTTGTCTCACGACGGTCTGAACTCGCTTCAACAAAAGGGTATCTGTTACCCGAAACCAACACAGATGGGTAGATAAAGAATGGGCATGATGCCAACTCTCTCTAGGGAGCTCGGTAAAATAGCCCCGTAACTTCGGAAGAAGGGGTGCCCCCTCACACGTTATGTATTTTAGACCTTAAATCTCAATGTGACTGGGTCCAGAAGCCAGATCAGAAGAGAATACATCTTCCAGTTGTACCTCTATTGAATGTATTTGGGCTGTTCTTCTGGCCTTGAATATTTGTGCACTAAATGCTAATAGGCCCTTGGGCTTTGGACCACAAGAGGATGGCTGGGAAACCCAGTGCTTAAGATATCAGATAAAATTCAGAAGAAAACCAGAAACCATATGACAATCGTTTACTTACCGTTGATGTGGTTATATTTTCATACAATTTTATCATTTTTTTTTATTGAATTTTGTCCATTTGAACAAGTTATATGTACTAAATTATATTGCTTTGATCTTTAGGCATTCGATATCGGGACTACATGAGTCGGGACTACATGATAAAAAGAAAGAATAAAACGAAGACTTGGACGCCTAAAGTAAAATTTAGTGCATATAACTCGTTCAAATGTACAAAAATTAAAGAAAATATACGATCAAAATGTATGAAAATATGAACACATTAGGACAGGTATATTGTAATTAATATCATACTCATGAATATAATATAAATGTCTTGAGATACAGTATGATGGATTGTCCTGGTGGTTAGAGTCTTCTTCTTCAATCCACTGCGTTCTAAGCTCAAACCCTTCTCTTAAACATTTTCCATACTTCAAATTTTAGTTTTATAATAAAATTAGATCCATCGAACCAGATCCAGATCATAAAATATTTATTGATAGGTGTTAACTAGTGTGGATGGCTGCCTGCCTCGGGTGGAGAAAGAATGATCATGTGCAGCTCATTGTTATTCTTTTTCCACATGACAGGCAGAAATATGGTTCCGTTCTTGTGCTGCTGCCACGATGGTGGTGGTGGCGGTGGTGCCTTTGTCAATCTGCCACGCGAACCCTGAGTGCTCAAGTGCTCTACCCAAATATTAAAGCAAAAACACCATTGGTGGTATGGCGACGGGCGACAGAGAATCGGATGAATTAGGTTCTCACCACTACCCTATAAATTATGCATTGCATATGCCACTTTGTTTTTGTTTAAAGCACTTATGCGCACAATCACATTTTAGAGACTGCTTTTCTAAAAAGCGCTTCTACAATTCAAATGCATTTTTAACTTTTTCTGTCGACTACAATGTAAAACACATTGGATAGCAAAAACGCTTTTATTTACTCTAAAAAATACGTAAAGCAAAAGCCTATAACTCATTTTATAAAGACAACTAGAACCTCTCCATACAAATTTTGATTTCAAAGAACAAAATCACACATTATCAACAGTGCATCACATAATTTTTTAAGTTGCTTCATAATTTAGGACAAGTACACTTGGAAGCTAGCAGTTTTCATTGACTCACATACAGGGCAAACATTGACAAAACCATCACAGTCCTTGCATAAACACAGGTGCCTACAAGGCATCAACAAGATTGACACCTCCTTCGCTTTGCATGCTCTACACGCTCTCGAACCCGTTTGCTCCTTCAACCCTAGGTAATTCTTCGGCACAGATTTCGCTGGTCCAACTGGGATAGTCAGGTAGTTATTTGGATCGATGTAGGAGGCAGCATCGTCAACTTCGCTGTCTCCAAATCCTTCCTTCCCTTGGTCCGCACCCTGCGAAATTGCTTGCTGGAGGTTGCTCTTCAGGGCATTAACAACCGACTCATTGTACTTTGCTCTGTAGTGCCAATTTTGCGCTTCGACAGCCACCTGTTTTATTCTATCAACCAATTCTTGATTCTTACGGTTCACGTTCTCAATTTCCAAGTCTTTCTCGCGCATCTTTTTGCTGACACCTTTCTCTATGGCAGCAAGGAAAGAAGCCGTATGTCTCTGCTTCATGTCCCTTGCCCCCTTTGCCAAGTGTTCCTCCTGTTTGATGAGCATCCAACATTAGATTTACATGAGCAACTAAATATAGTACGATGCTCACACACAGAAAAAGAGAAACGCACAATGACCTGTTCAAAAATTTTAAGCTGTTGGACTAGAATGTTCAACATTCAAACAGGATCTATACTTCTGAGTATGAATCATTGATCAAAGTTACAGCGAGAATGGATGATTTGTTATACCGTAAATAACAGACATCTTTAAGACAACATCTGTACGAAGTTAGAATGGAATTTCAAATTGTATGAGAAAAGACATAACTATAAAGTTGCAAATTGTCATCTAAAAATCAAAAGTTAAACCGATTTTACTTTGACAGACAACACATATCAAACCATATGCTGGAATATGAGAAATGTGGATATTTGTGCTTGAAGATCACAAGTACCTGAATTTTGATGTATTGATCAAACTCTTCCTTCTGTCGATCCAGCTCAGTCCTAATATTGTCACCTAGGGATAGGATCATTGAAGGTGCAGCTGTCATACTTCCACTCGCAGAAGTAACTGATGAGTTGCGCTCATCGTCATCATATGATAGCCTTAACCCCGTTGATACAGCATTTGGGTTTGGAATGCTAGCTGAACGATCGGCTTCATCTGGACAGACATTATAGTTCAAAGAAATCTGAAGCTTCTTCTGTCTTGAGATATCTTCCATTTCCCTGTTTCGTTTATTGGGCCGAAGCATGGGAGTGATATGCTCAGTGCCAAAATAATTTACAGGATCAACGTTACATCCAGCTTGTACTGCAACATCAGTTGAAATTCCATCTTAAAGACAATTCCAGAAAGGAAAAAGTTGATGCTGAATAAAGACTGAGTTGCAAGGTAGGAACTACATATCAACATGTAGAGATGATTAAAATCAATTAATCTAAATTAATTATGAAGTTCCAACCGGAACAAAGAATGTAGACACAACAACTTACCATTTCCAAACAGCTGAAGTTGACTTGAAGCATTTGTCGGATATGGGAATCGATTTTCATCCACGAAAACAGGAAGCATGGGGTTACTATTGTTGCCTCCCAACATTGTATAAGACAAAGTAACTACCTCAAATGTTTTCTTTAGGCGAAGGTTGGTAACTTAAACAGCAAGAATCAACCTGGAAAAGGGAAAATTTAAATCTTGAATTAGAACAAGTGGGGTAATGGCCAAGACCAAGTGCTTGTGAAGGATCTCCAGCAACAGCCAATGTACATAAAAAATAATCAAATCGTTTCCACGAGTTCAAGAAATAATCATCTAAAAGGCATGTAATGCTCAACCTTACTATAGATGGGTTTTTATATAATTAAGTAGATTGAGAGACCAAGTTACACAGAGACACGTCATTAGAGCAAGTGCATTGTGAAAATGGGTTTCTCCACAAAAATTAGGATATTCTCTTCATAATAGTAACATATTAAAATGCTTTATCATAAGCAGTTACAGAATAGTATAAGAGGTGGAAACAATGTTACAGTATATGCTTGAAAACACGAAGCAAGGAAATAGTTAAACAAAGTTGGAAACCCACATTTAAATTTTACTTCATTAAATTGAATACACCGCTTCTCCAGTGGGTCTACAACTTCAAGTAAAACTCCAAATGCGGGAACACTACAGACAGGATTAACGCTAGGGATGAGGGTATCCGTTATACATAAACTGCTGGCTTTAAATGAAAATTGATTTTGAATTAACATAGACCGTAGATGCAAGTAAAAAAAGAAAACGACAACCCTCGTTCAGCTCGCATCTAAAGTTGTTAAGTCTATCTTAATACGCCGTCCTGTTGACGCTGAATTGGCTCAAGCTATAATGAGTTTGATGGTGTTAAACTAGGTATCGAGTTCAATCTACAGCTAAAATGGAAAGGAGCTAGGGCTCTTCACTTCGTTTACTACATAAAAACTCGAGAGAATGCATGTCAATGCACATTATATAATATATGCAGAAGCATTTGCAATATAAATCTCTACATCAGTTGCATCTACAAATCCAAAAACATTGAAGATCAAAACAAAATGCTGAATGCATCACAATGCAGAAGTCTCAATATTTTAATGCAGCTGTAAATCTAAACTCTGTAACTTCAAATCATGATTGATATACTGCAGGAAAAAATGAAGTCAATCTTGTCATCTCCTGTCAGTAGCGTTGGAAACAAGGAAAACTTAACATTACTCAAGACCTGACCCGAACGGAAAAAACAAAAGCAGCCAATAAAAGTAATCGCACTTCCTATAAATCGATAACATCTACCAACACAAACGCAATCATAGATAGACAACATACACACATGCGATAAACTCAGAGCATATCGATGATTCCAGAAACGAAAGACACAAAACAAAGCTCGATAGATAAATCAATAAACTGAATGTGCTACAAAAGAGATGAGATTTGATATACCAGAGGGTGCTGTAATATTCAACAGAGAAAAAAAATTGGAAAACTCCTATCTAAGTTAAGAGGTTAGGAAAATCCTGAAAATATGGAAAGTCAATAAGATACCAATCTAAACAAGGAAAAAAATGCAATCTTTTAGATCGTTTACAAAAAGAATTCAATGCCAATCTAATCTCCTACTGAAAAGATTATTCCTTTCCAACAAAACATTACCTAACATCCACAAAAAATCAATAACCCAACAAAAGAAAGTGCAGCAGCATCACAGATAGAGCAAGTTACCTCAATATCCAAATCCTCTTTGATTCAGTCTCAAGCAAAATCGGTGCTTGCCCAGATCCTGCAATCACATGCCAACTCCAATCAGACCCAGAAAACCACCCAAAAAAATTTTTATTAAAAAAAAAAAACCATCACAAAAGTTCCAGAATTTAACAGGAAAAAGTAAAAATAAGATGAATACCTCAAGAATGCACTGCTTTTTCGATAACCGATCGTTTGGAATCTTCTGGGAGATGATGCTTAAGCTTCCCAGAAGGAGTGAAACGCAGAACCCAGAAAGATAAAGGATCAAGAAGTAAAATTTGGAAGAGTAAAAGGGAGAGGAAGATCTGAAAGATCGAAACCGGATAAATTAAAGAGTGGAGTTACTGTGGTTTGGAAGAAGATGGAGGATCAAAATATTATGAAGAAATGGAAGGAGGATGGATGAGAGTGGGAGAGAGTGCCCAAAACCCAAAATTTATTCAATCCAAATCACACGCATTACACACATGCATACATATCTCGGTGCTTGTGGTTACGCAAACGGATTGCCGTTCTCTCTCTGTCTCTCTCTCCTTTTATTTTTGCAGTTTTCATTTACTTTCAAATTGTAATTAGAAAGTGCTATTAAACAACTGAAAGTACGGTTGGTGATATTAGTTTTGGGTTTTAAAATCACTTCATATCTTTTTTGCATGAATCATTTAAAATATTTTTTCATTATTTCTTGAATTTTTATTGAGAATTGCTTTAAAAAATATTTTACCAAAAATGCTTTTAGTCTTTTAAAAGTAATTTTAAACAAGCTCCTATGTTTCAGTTATAATTGTCTCTCTTATCTATATGATTGTGTCAGTATCAAAAAGTTCAACATCTATTGACATCGTGCACAATTTATATTCTACCACCTAAAAATTTATATTTATTTCGATTAATGACTTATATTCTACTATCTAAAAATCATAAATTAAATTGATTAGCGAGAATGGTTGATCTCATCAATTTGTTCACTCATATGTTTATGACTTTTATCTCATTTCAGAGTAATAAACATATATAGAGAAAGTTAATCTCTTTCATATATAGTTGTGGATAAGAATTAAAAATAAAATGAGAAAATCTAATATTTATTTTTATTTTTGTGTTTTTATCTTGAAGAAGTTTTTTATTTTTTATATTGAGAAAGTTCTCGAAGAAGTTCATATATCTCTTAACTCCAAATGCAACCGTTTGAAAAAAGTTGTTCGGTTGTGCACTTCCCCCGCACTCACTCACTTTTTTTTTTTTTTTTTCCATCACGAATTACTACCTTATTTATTTATGGTTCCTTATTTACTTAAACATAATTACCACTAGCAATTGAAACGTGTGCAACAACGGGAACCAAATTATAATTTCTTATTTTTTGTATTTTTCTTGAGAAAAGTCATAGAGATGCATGATGCATCTATTCATGCAAACAAACACAAATTAAAATTGAAAACACAAATAATTGATGACAAACATGCTACCGATGGGAAGTGCGATAGTTGACGTGAAGAGAAGAAGTCCTTTGATGAGGAGAGAATTTTTTAGTGTGCGTTCTCGACACAACAAAAAATTTCTCTTTGATGAGAAGAAGTGAAAAAATTATTTCTCACGGTAGTTTTAGATTTTTTTTTTTATTATAATTGTTTTAATGATTATTCACAATTATTAATTTGATTATTTGACATGAATATCCACAATTATTAAACCTTGTTATTAAAGTGAAGTTATGAACATAAGGGTAGAGTTGTCTTTTTATGTGTTTTTATTTACCAACTTTTACTGGTTGGCCGTTGATTCCAAGTCATAAATATAATTAAAAAACCTACCAAATCATATAGGAAGTAACGATTCGTTCGATGGTAACGGACCAAAAAGGTCGTTTTCGAGACGAAGGTGCAAGGCTTGGTTGGTAACAAAGACAAGGCCATTTACGAAGGTGCGAGGCTTAGTTGGTAGCAAAGACAATGGCATTTGGTAAAAACAACACACCATTTCCATCGGGACGTCCAACAAAATTATTAAACGAGTTGAATTATTAGGATGCATTTTTACTTACCGTTCTCAAGTGATGATAATATTCGACACTCACAAACCGTGATAATACTCTCTACGTATTGCCACTAAATAAGTTTAAGTTTGAATTTTGTGACTATCTACTACACAAATATCATATTCAAAATCATTTACTTGTAATAAATGAGATGATAAACATCGAAAAAAATATTCTCAAATTATTATGATGGGGGTATGGACGACATGTCGTGTGGTATGGGTAGAATTAGTACGAGAGCGGAGGAGGGGAGGGGGCCATCGGTCAGAAACTAATTGAAATTATTAAAAGCGGGAATTTTGGGGTGGGGGGTGGGTGTGTTGAGGAAGCTGGCTACCTCATGGCTGACTGAATGGGATGGGTCCCACCGGAGAGCGGCCCCCACGCACCCGTTTTGTCGTTGGAGGGTAATTTTGGCGGGTGAGCGGACAGACGAGGAGCCATCATCAGCATCAAACCCCATCATTCACGGATTAGAGAGTAGACATAACGGACCAACAACACCAGAATATATTAATTAAAAAAAAAAAAAAATTAGAACCTTCGAGACCCAAATATTTTCAGAAAATAATTTGCACAAAGAACTGAGAAGAAGAAATTTTATGCGAAGGGGCGGATTCAAACTTAGAGAGATTTTTCAATGTGACCGTTATATGAGGTGGTATATCACGTGTCGTTATATAAATGGTAGGATATATATGTTAAAATGTTAATAACTTAAAAGATGAATTTCCTATCATTTGCATAAAAACACGTGGTATACCATCCGTATTCCCGTCACAACTAAAAATTCATCTCGAACTTGAAGTGTATTCGAGAAACACATCTGCTCAAGCTAATTTGATGACGCCGCGTTTGCAAGGGTTGAGTGGCGTTGAAGTTTTGGTTTTTGGTTGCCATCCGATGACACCTTTGCAAGTTTATAAAGACCAGTCTAATGCAATTTCTTAATTATACGGGTACCAATTATATATTGGCCATATAACCAAATCCGAACCAAATCATAAAATCAAACACGAAAATAAAACAAAGTCAGTTGTCCCATTACAATTATGATACAAAACCAACCCCATATAGTTGAATTTGAATTTCTGTGCACTGAACATTTGAACATGCATTTTTTAAAGAATAAACCAAAAACTTGGTGTACATCATAATCAAGAGACGAGTATTTTTGAAATTATGAAAAGAAAAAAAAAAATAGTTAATGAGGTAAAAACATCGTCTGCTCTTTCAGAGGAAACAAAGTTCTGGAACGATAGACTTCTTCCATTTTCTTGTTTAGGTAAAGATTGTTTTCAGTACTTTAAAATGAAAAAAAAATAAAAATATAGATCACGTGATTAAAAAAAATTCAATCATCAACCGTTAAATGTTGTTTAAAAATCATGGTTTTAAAAATGGTATCACTAGCATTTTCCAAAAAAAAAAAAAAAAAATCCTCCGAAAATATAGTCATATGTCAATGTAACCATGACCAATGGTCAAGTGGGAATGCAGTAGAATTCTAAATCAGGTTTGTTCTCAGGTCTTGGGTTCTAGGCACGAAACAGCCAAAAATATGCGTGATTCTTAGGTTGAAAGTTTTGAGAAGATGTGTATCATTTGTTGTGGACAAGGATGAGCTGAAATGTCTTTAACCTTTCCAGACCTCATAAGAGCAACTCCAGCGTTGGAGCCCTCCCCCTGGCAATACACTATTCAATCCACCTAATGAACAGTAATTGCCCTTAATGAACAGTAAGTAGCCCTGGCAATAGATTTTGCATCTCCACCGTTACACTTCTATAGCCCTGGCAATAGGCAATAAAATATTAGTATTTTTTTTATTTATAAAATTAATACAAAATAATTTTAAATGTAATATCGGATAAGATTTTTAATCGTTGTCGGTGCGCCACGTGTCATTATCCTAAGTATTATTAAATAATACAAAATAAATAATTATAATATGGATTTCTGATAAGATTATTAACCAATCACGTCGCGCCACGTGTCATAATCGGTTCACAATCTTTGAGGATAGATTTCCATCAGATTTTAAACGAATGACGGCATGCCACGTGTCATAATCTGTTAACAATCTTGGATGATAGATTTCCATCAGATTTTTAACGAATGACGGCATGCCACGTGGCATTATGCAGAACCTAATCCTTTCTGAATCCTCTATATAATCCACCATCCATCTTCACAAATCTCACACCAAAATTCTCAAGATCTCTATCATTATTCATAATTTCTGCTTCCTTATTCACAAAAATCAGTTTCAATATTCATAGTTTCTGTTTCTTTCTTTCAATGTCTTCTTCTTCTTCCTCAAGGATGATGTGGGAATTGAATCAGGAAGAGGAAGACTTGTTTAACCAATCAGAATCAATGTTCAATCAGCAGGGGGTAAGAAATGAGAGGGAAGAAGATGAGGAGCGTCAAATGAGAGATGACGACATAAGAAGGGGCAGAGCCTCACATTCCCGTCGAGTCATCCAAGCTGCGGCTCAGATCTGCAGGCCAAGGCGTTCCGGAAACCTTGATAGAAGCAGGCAACGACGAGGTATGGAACTCTTGGATGATTATTTTGTTCCTAATAGTGCATTCCCTGATACGTACTTTAGACGTCGTTTTAGAATGGAACGACATTTGTTCAACAAAATCATGATTGCTGTTTGCAACCATGATTCTTATTTTGTGCAAAAAAAAGATGCTTTTGGTGCTATGGGTCTACTACCGGAGCAAAAAATTACTGCTGCCTTGCGGATGCTTGCATATGGAGCATCTGCAGACCAAGTGGATGAGATAACGAGGATGGGGCAATCAACCATTCTTGAGTCCCTGATGAGGTTTTGCGGAGCAATCGAATCTATCTACACCGCTGAGTACCTCCGCAAACCCACACACATGGACTTGGAGCGGCTGTTGAAGAAGGCGGAGATGCGTGGCTTTCCTGGGATGATTGGAAGCATTGATTGTATGCACTGGACGTGGAAAAACTGTCCAAGTGCATGGCAAGGCGCTTACGGGGACAGAAAAGGGGCAAAAAGTATCATTCTGGAGGCGGTGGCATCTTTTGATACATGGATTTGGCACGCCTTTTTCGGGGTCCCGGGAGCTCAAAATGACATCAACGTCCTTGCCCAATCCCCAGTGTTCAACGATGTCCTGCAAGGAAAGGCACCAAAAGTTACATATGAGGTCAACGGACGTATGTACGACGGGCCATACTACCTAGCTGACGGCATCTACCCGCGCTGGTCAACATTTGTCAAAACAGTGCCACGTCCGCGGAGTGCGAAGGAAAAACACTTTGCAAGTTGTCAAGAGGGGTGCAGGAAGGATGTGGAGCGTTGTTTTGGTATCCTCCAAGCTCGCTGGGCGATCGTCAGGGGTGCTGCCAGATTGTTTGATGTAGAGTCGCTTCGATCCATCATGATGACGTGCATCATTCTTCACAACATGATTGTGGAAGATGAGTACGATTATGAAGCTGTTGATGAATATGAGCCAGACCCGATGAACAAT